TTACTTCACTGCTTTCCGCAACCTGTTTTACTTCACTAATGACTTCCGTAGGTTTCGTATTTTCCGACTGATCGTCCTGTTCAGCTCTCTTCATTAATCTTTCCTTGGATGAGCCTAGAAGAGCAATACCATACTTCACCCAGCATCTAGCGACATCCGCTGATCTGTGATTGTACTTTTCATATTCTGCATTCAAACTATCACTCATTTCCTTAGTGTCCTTTGTCTCCAAGATCTGTAAATATTTCTGTAACACACATGATGCTGCGGCTAAGTGATGTCTCGCTTGTGGAAATTTGTCATGCTCTACAAAGTATTGAGATATTGTTGCAGCATTCAAAGCCCACTCGATGTAATCCAAATTTTGGGTTATCTTATTCTGACTTAGCTGCTTGCTCAGTGTTCTGTGACAATACAGGGCAAAGTTGTACTTGTCATCCAGCTCACGGCACACTTGCGCTAAGTAATACAAGGTCAAGGTGTGAAGTTTTTCAAGTAAACTCTTGGGACACAGATCTCCCTCTATTTCTTCGATGCCTATGATAGTCATCATATTAATAGGATCAAGGCAAACGTCCTCTGTAAACTTAATGTACAAACTTTCCGCTTGCTGCAAGTAATCCTTAGCTTCTATAAGTGAACCTTGCTGTGCAAGAACTATACCCATTTGATTGTTAGCGCTTATAACTGGTAAAATACCTTCAGGTGTCAATTTGCTCACTTCTAACAGATTAATACACCTTGTGAAATGTTCCTTAGCAAGTTGTGTATCTTGCATATCAGCTTGCAATATACCTATGTTCAGATGAGTTATTGCAGTCATTGCAGATGAGAAAGTTTCTTTGGTAAGCACTTCCAGTATGTCCATTAAGATTTCCATAGCCTTAGATTTCTTCTCGTAAAGTTCATTCGGAGTGCTCTTTGCTTCATGTTCCTTCAACATACTCTGAACCTCTTGGTATTTCTCTGTCACCCACGTTCGTGGGTAATCGGTTGTCTCAGTGCTTTCCATCTTGTAAACAAAATGTTTTGACGTTGAAATGCTTAAATTTTGAATTATGTCTGCTTAATTTTTTTGAACATTTGATCTTTTTAACAAGATTTATATCAAGATTTTATTAAATCTATCCCAAGAATATTTAAAATCGTGCAGATCGGCTATTAGCATTATAAAATTGTGATATAGCTATTGCGATTGTGGTACCTATCGATAAAAAAAATCATTAGATAATACACATCTTGAAATTAGAAATATTGGTTAGAAACAATCAAGTATTTTTATGTATAATCTTACCAACCTATTGATATCTTTATTGATAATAAACAATACGAGGCACAGAATAATCACAAAACGATGTTAACACGATGGTTTTCATACATAAGATGCAATACACGTGCAGCTAATGAGAAGCCAATCATCCACTACAACTGGAATGCACTGGAATGGGCACTGAATCGCTTATTGCGAGCCGAGAGAGAACCGTATGTCGTGTATTGATGTCCTTTTTCGCATACATGTGCTGCGTAGAACGCTTTGCGCAGCACATGTATGTACATACACGTCTCGGTTGTGTGCGTGTCCCCTCCACCATGGTACTCTTGGTATTGGCCAGGTCGGCTCGAGGCTCGAGTTTGAATTACTGGTGAGCATTCATAGAGTGAGCATTACACCCGAAGAATAAGGAGAAGCCTTATTCTTTGATTACACCGTAAAATACATAAAATACTGTAGTGTTTCCATTCTCGCTAGTGAATATAAGTAGACAATTAAGAAGTTAAATATGAATTATTTTGATTTTCTGCCCGACGAAATGTTGTTATCAATTTTGTATTATTGTGATCCACGCAGCTTGGCACGACTTTGCTGCGTATGCAAACGGTTTAATAACATAATATATACTATCTTGGATGAGAAATCTAATCATTTGCTAGTGACGAATCAGAAGTCCGAAAGGTTTCGTAAAAAGTAAGTTAAATAATGCTTAATCTTTTTAAATTACATAATTATATATAATCAATTAATGAATATGGTAGTTTTCCACCAAGAAACACAAGCGACACAAAAGTATTGTTCTCTCTGTTGCTCATTGAATGTCGAACAAAAACAGAGTGATACTTGTGTCGATTTGTGTCAACTTGTGTTCTTTGCTGGAAAACATAAACACTATATAAAGTGTTTGTCTCAACACGTGGAGTGCATCTCAGTCACGTGGCGTGGAGCGCACATGACCCAAGTTTCGTGAAAAATAAGTTAAATAATGCTTAATCTTGATTTGTATTTAAATTTATTCTAGAATTTTTTAAATTATATAATTATATATAATTAATTAATAAATATATAAAGTATTTGTCTCGACACGTGGAGCGTGTATGACCCACGTGGCGTGAACGGAAAAAAATTATATACAGTGCGTAGCAAAAGTTTTAGAACGGCATATTATTTTAGAAAGTATTGGTTTATTGTAAAAATGTTTCAAACAAAAATAGTAGGGCTTAAAAAAATCTATTAGCTGGTGATATTTATTTGAATAACCTTGAAAAACAAAAGAATTTTAAATGGAAACCCCTACCCAATCAGCAGACAATATTTTTAAAATGTATTTTTAATTTTTATTTTTAAAATGCATTTTGAATTTTTAATATTTATGATGTCCATTAATTGTACATTGTAAATTTTTGAAAAACATTTTAAAAACATTAAAATCAAGAATTAAGGGGAAAGCCTCGTATGAATCGCTAAAACGAAAGTGATTTTTAGGAATTTTTTTTTTTATATCTTATATTACCGTTAACCGAACGCCCCGCCGCGTGTGCGTATACCTGCGCGCAAGAAATGGGCTGTGGATTCTTTAAAACTTCGAATTTTATTCTGTAATTTTGGGTTACAGTTATTGGTTAAGCCCCTTTTTATTCATTTAAAAAATGTTTATTTTAATACTTTCTCTAACTTGCTATTTTAAACGAATATTTCATGTAAAATATATAATTAATAAACATTAAAATAAACATTTTTTTAATGAATAAAAAGGGGTTTATCCAATGATTGTAATATTTTTAAAATGTTTTTAAAAATCTTTTTCAAAAATAAAAAAAAATTTTTTTAAAACATTCTCTGCCAGTTGGGTATTTTTTATTGCACATTCTTGTAGCTGAAGTCGAGACATTTTTAAAACACTATAATAAAGTATTTTTTTCATTAAAGTACTTTTCGAGTTATAAAACTTGTAAATGACAGTACCGCCGGCATTAACATTATCCAAGATGTTTGAGACCTTTTTTGCACTTCTCATATTTACATTATGAAAAGCAAAAATATTCTCGGTTCTCTATAAGAATACATTGAAAAACGTGTTATTTTATTTCACAGATGTGCGCCATTATTATCTTCGTATACTTCAAAATTTAATATTTATTACAACTGGAAAAACAAACAGTATACATCACGAATAAAAGTCTCAAGTGTTTCATATTTTTCATTACAAATTACTGAGCACTATGTTGTTTGTGCTACGGACAATTACATGGTAGCTTATACGCGCACTAAGGACGGTGCAATTAATAAAGTCATTAGTAGATTCTGTGACTCTAATATTATGAATATTTTTCATTGGAATAATATTATAATAACTTGTCATTCGTGCGTATTTATTATAAATTCTATTTAATTTTTTTTTAAATTTTTTACAAAAATTTTTACAAAAATTTTTACAAAAATTCTTGCAGAAATTATGATATCGGACACTGGAAAATTGATTTCGAAGATGAATACAAGTATCCAATTGTAGAATTAAAAATGTATTCTAATGACTATTCCATTGCAGCTATAGATGTAACGTCACAATACATTATTTCAGGTTCAAGAAATAGTTCAATAAAGGTAAGATTTAAAAACTTGCAATAATGCGCTTGATTAATGTAAAATGTAAAACCTATTTTTGCTCAGATACGAAAATATTTACATGAAGGAGATGTAGAGAGAGAGGAAGAAATAATTGATACCAAAATTTATGATGCGAGAACAATCTCAATTGATCCTACAGGAACGCTATTTATTGCTAATATTGACAAAACATTTTCGACTTTTGGTAAGTTAATATATTTTTTTAATGGCATATAAAATTAATTTAGTTACGTTAAAAGTTACATGAGCAAAAAATTAACTTAGTTAAAGTTACGTTAATATTAAATTAACTTAAGTTAAAATAGAAGTTAATCTTGAAAATCATTATTTATATTAAATTAAGATATCGTAATTTTTTAAAATTGCATTCTAAATAACAAAACAAGAAAATAAATATTGACATTTACATTAACGCATTTAAAATTAACTAAATTAAATTAAAAGTTATTAACTTTTTATTTAACTTTTAACTTTCTAGATGATATCCCAAACCAAAATGAAATTGTCTTCTTTGATATCAGTAAAAAGTAAGTTATGTTTCAATTAATTAAACTTACATGTATTTGATTAATCACTGTTTGTATATATTTGGAATAATTTACAACATACTAATATAAAGAAATTTTAGTGTTGAAATAATTAGAAGAAATATCGATATCAATTATTTGGACACTAAATGGCAGAATCCGCAAAGTATTCTCATGCTTGACAACAATTGTATTAAAAAAATGGATACAAGGTAATATATCTTATTGTTATGTTAATTGACCGTTCAATTTAATTATATTTATTACTATAATTTCAGAACATCCGAATTTGTACAAACATGGAATAATTCAATGGCGGGTAGAGTAAAAAGTCGTTACCACGTTTATAACGCTTATTTTACATGTTTCTCATCGGATGATTCGTATACTATTATAACGGGACACTCGGATGGTGCAATTATTTTATGGGATCAAAGACAAAATAATCCTGTTCAGGTTTGTATTAATTCCAAATTACATGCATCTTATATTATATTAGTTACATATATTACTAACTTTATCTTAAAAATTTTTAGATGTATGAAAATTTCACATGTGTAAACGCTGTACAATTTGACAGCAGTCATATGTTTGTTGCTTCAGATCGTGGTTTACATGAAGTTATATTTATATAATAAAAATATTTTATATATATTGTTGAATCAGATCGAGTTATCTTTTCTATTTTCTCCATTGTTTCGATCTTAGTTCGGGTGAGTCGGATGAGCCTTATCACTGCGGCTCTCTGAATCAGCCGCAGTGCAGGCTACAAAAAACAAACCTTATAACATGAGACGAATTGCACTAGAGTTTCAAACGTCAAATAGAGTCCAAACCTGACCTAACAAAATTTTAATTTAGATACAAAAGTATAATTATATATACTTAAATTATTATAATTTTTATACATTTTTGGATTTTAATTATTATTAAAATTTTTGAAAAAAATTTTAATTTAAGTTACCGCCAAAAAGAAAAATACAGTAATGCCATTGGCCGCATTCAGCGGACTCAACCAGTTGAGCAAAGTTACTAGATTTTCTGCTGAATGATACTGTTGATTTGTTGGCTCTAAAAGTAAGAGCCAATCACGTTCGATTGCTACTGAACGGTTCGTTCCGCTGAATGCGTCCATTATATAATTAGTTGAAATTATTTCAGAAATTGTCGCACGGTGACATTTGTTTCTCATGATGTGGCGAGCGTGCATCCGCGCGAGTTGCAGCTGAGAGCGCAGCTGACGGCGGTTGTGCGCGAGAGAGAGAGAGAGAGTCAGTCGTGCTGTTGTAATTGGTGTTTATCTGTCACGAATATTTTTTTCTTTCGCTGTTTTACGAGTCGGACGTTGTTATCCGCACACCGGACTGTGTCGCGGATAAAGTGTGTACGCGTGTACGTTGTCCCGTCAGTGCCATATGTACTTCCTCGTTGACGACCGTGGTCGATATGTGGGTGAAGCCACAAGAGGTGTTGCTCGCCAATGCGTTCTGGTAAAGTCGCATTTATGTGCACGTGATTTTTATTTCATCGCGGCCGACAGCGTTGGTTATATCGTGTCTGGTTTTCCCGCTCGATCTGGCGATTGCAGCGATTATTACGACCTCGAGTTTGAATGGATCGTAAATCGCTGAAAGCGAGATTGTCGGCGTCGCTCTGATTGTTTACATTATGTCAAAGACAGCTGACGGGAAATTCTCTCTCCGCGGACTGGAAATTCGTCGGTTCTTACCACGCAGTGCGATTGCGGGAATGCCAATTTGTGCGTCGCTTGTTAGCGTAGTAAATTTGCGTCGCTTTGGCAAGGGAAGGAATTATCGCTTATTATCGTGGCATTGACAAAGTTTCATTTTTAAAAGCACGAACTTACGTAGATAACGACCGTGACACGCTAGTAAAAGTATGTATAAATGTGACGCCGTTTGCCGTCATGCGAGTATATCTGGTTATAATTGATAAGCGGCGAACGTGATGTCGAAATCAATGCGAAATCATATCGTTACGAAAATACTTGGGACTAATAGACGCGTGCTGTGAAACATATACATTATTAAAGTGATTAATTATTTCTTCATGAATCTCAATAATAATAGTAATCAATATCCGTTACATTTTCCGTTTTGTAATCCGTTTACTTACTTTCCAATTAATATTTTCAAGCAACTATTTATTATTTCTTCATTGTTTCGATATTATTTTAGATATTATTTATTATTATTACAGATTATTTATTACATTCTCATGCAAAATATATCTTTATGTTAATTCTCTCTTTCTCAAATATGTACAGAAACGGTATGCTTAATTTTTAAAATTCTTAAAATAGACAATATTGTAAATTTGATTCAGTTTTTCTTATTTCCTAATGTAGGACTACTGAACAAGCAACTGTATATTTCGTTTTACAACGTCGCAAAGGTCATGGGAAAGCGAAGGGTCTCACCTCCATATTGGTGGGCACATTGGACAGTGTCTTTGACACTAAACCACCACCATTCAGAATTCTTCACCAGACACCATCATCGGAGGTTTATTGGGGTAATGGATTATAATCGAAATCTAAAAGATTGTAGTCTAAGAGATAAGGTATATAAAATATTTTGAGAGAGAGCTAATTTCCCTTTATATATATATGTCATGTATGATATATATATGTCATACGTATAATAGATATGTCATTTTGGTCCAAATATATAATTGTGCTTTACAATTGTTATTAAATATTAGTTTCTCCATATATTATTTATATGTGAAAATATATAAAGCAGCAGATATGTATGCAAGTCTTGTTTTAATAGCAGTGATAATAACACAGTAACTGATAGCAGTGTCATTAGCATAAACAAATGCCAGCTGTGTGAGACAAATGCTGAAAGGAAGCACAACAAGTTTAGTGCTTTTACCTATATTTAATTTTATATTTATGTAATAATTTAAAAAAAGATTAGGAATTAGATTATATATATATATAAATATTTGTTTTAACAAATTTGAATTCCTAACTTGCTTTTCTTTCATTGAAAACTTGTAGAAGTGGCATGTTCCTTGACTCACGAAGAGATTTTGCAAGATTGGGAATGGCTTCACTCGAATTTAATGACTACCCTCACGTCGTTCGATAGCGAAGAAGAGATTACGGAATTTGTTTGCTGCAAAATTCAATCTATAATAGCAAATAGCATTCCGGATTCGCAGTTTGCAGATGGTATAATTATTGGTGGTTACTTCAATCGTAAGAATGAGAATTGCAAGTGCATAAATTGACCATTAATATTACTGTTTTTTCAGAAGAGGATCCAGAATCTTTCAAAACTGTTTCGTTTAAATTTCACCAATTGTTCAATATCCCCAAAGAGGACAAATTGGTCAATTATTACTCATGCAGGTGTTTATAAATTTCAAATTTATATTTTAAAAAAATAACCTTCAGTATATATTTGCAATAAATGATAAAATGACATTTTTCTTTTAGTTACTGGAAATCTCGACTACCTAGACAAGGATGGCTCTATTTATCCGTGAATCATATGTGTTTTTATGCATATATACTAGCAAGGGAAACGAAATTGACCGTAAGATGGACGGACATTACCGAATTGAGTAAAACTAACTCCCTTCTAGTTCCAGACAGTATACGTGTTGTAACGCGTGACAATAAAGAAGTATACATTAACATCTCTACTATTTTCAATATATATTGTGATAAGTACCATATGAAAACTGATCAGTTCTCAATTTTCTTCTGTTGCAGCATTATTTTTCTATGTTTTTACACAAATCCGAAACGTATTCATTAATGGAACAACTGACCAATATTGCTATGAAGAGGTTCTATTTTCAAAATAAAAAATATTCTAACATTTTTATTTCATACTTTACTGATATTGATTTTTATTTTTCTCAGACTTATTGATGAAAAAAGTGGATTCAACGAAGACAGAGACTTATTGAATAAATTAAGGTATATTTCGACACAATCACGTCGCTTTTTATTAAAAAAAAAAAAACAAAAATGAACATTGTGTCAATTTTAGCAAAAATGTGCCTAAAAAGCCGTCATTCTTAAAGAGGGATCTTGATGCACGAGCACATTCGGAAGCGTACAGGCTTCAGTTTAGGTTGCCAGGGACCGAGAAGTTGGATGGTAGCATCGATGCAACTTTATGGACTCCGTATAACAAAAGATACGTCTGGGGAAAGATATATTTATCTCAAAACTATCTTTGCTTTGAAAGTAGGGTAAATATCTTTCTAAAATAAATGAGTGAGAAGTAAAAATAATTCTAAAGTTCACTTATTGCTTGCCTATTTATCCAGGTGAGACGACAAGTCAGCTTGGTTGTGCCTCTGCGGGAGGTGACGCTTGTCGAACCGGCGGAAAATCAGTCCAGCACAGGAGCGGATAAGTCGATACTCGTCACTACGTCGCGTTCGTCGTTTCTGTTCGCTCAAATACATGACAGGGATTTCGTGGTGCAGAAGATCTCCGAGCTCCTGGCAAAGTCTAAACTCAATTACACGTACGTTTGCTCATTAGCGATATTTTTCAGCAGATATAAAACATTGATACAACAATACGTGAATCGCAATCTTGGTATATGCATTGGTGTAGAGCAAGAGAAAACGCGTGTTCGACGAATTCTTCGAGCAGTAATATCAGTAACTGCGAGGAAGCGAAGCCTGTGGAGCAGTGGAAGTCTCAACCACCGTTGATGACGCTGTTCAAAGCTCTGCTGACTCCCGAAGCCGCGCTGAAGCAAGAAGCTAAAGAGAAGCAGTGGGAGCTGCACTTTGCCGAATACGGAAGGGGTATTACGATGTACAGGACTACGGAAACGGTGAAACTTGTTATTCAAGGAATTCCGCAATGCCTGAGAGGAGAAGTTTGGCTCACTTTTTCTGGTAAG